ACCATGTATCCCTATGGCAGAATCCTCCCTATGGAGTGAGTCCCAGGCTGAAGGAGGAGGTTGGTCAGTGTAGATATCTTTCATCCACGGTCTTGGGATGGGAAATTCAGTTTTTTTTCTCTGACTAGTTTTAGGAATCTTACTGACACTTCACACATGCCTAGAAGGAGTGACTGCTTCGTCAGCCATATAGAGGGACAAATGATAAAAAAAGGAAACCTCTATTTGGGGCTACTTCCTAAGTGGAAATAGGTGACACTCTCGTGCCTGGGGCAACCTTGAATTACTAGTTTTGAAGTTAAAGATCTGGAGGTATAAATGGGTTTCTCTCCAGTAAAGAAAAGTAGAATCACAAAACCCCAGCAAATGTGCTCCCAGCCCAGGTCAAGTGCTGGGAACAATTCCATTGCTGCACTAAGAGATGCAACGTAATCAACCACCAAGATACCCTCCTCTCATCCCTAACTAGAGCTCCAGAGCTCAGCAAAGGACCTGCACAACAACAGCACAAGGCTGTTAGAGGCATCTCAGCATCTCTTTTCCTGGAAGAAATTCCTGTATCCGCCAAGCAAGCAGAATCTGTCTGTTTTGGAAAACAACGGATATATCAAACATTCTGGCAAAGCCCAGGAGAAATGACAGTTCAATGATGTTGAAAAGAAAATTATCAGAGAGAGATTAATTTGTCTGACAGTATGTCTTTATGCTCTCCACTGAGGAAGAACAAGAGTCCTTTCATGCATATTGAATTTACTTCTGGTGTGAGTCAACCTCTGTCAGTAGGCCTGTAAGTGCTGTCGGTTTAGGAAAATGGGTGATTGCTGCTACCTGGCACCTGCCCCCTGAACACCTCGGAGCACCAGAGCTTTCCAGCCACTGCTTCTTCCACCAGCAATCCTCATTTTACACCATGGCTTGGGGCACAGCATTCCAATATCTCCTGCACTATCCACCAAAACATTTGCCCGAGGAGGCAGATGGGACAGCCAAATGCAGGGCTGCAGGCCGTGGAAAGCCCAGAGTCTGGGTTTGGAGATGAAGAGAGGTAAGGGAGCAAATGGTGCCTGATAACAGGAGTGGCAATCCCAATCCATTTCTCACATGACTTTGCAGGTGAAGTACCCAGCACTGCCAGCTGCCTGGGGCCATCTCTCTCTGCAGGACACAGCAAGACTTGACAATGTTTTGCTACAGCCAGCCCTTGACTGCTGTGGTGTCGCAGCTTGTGCAGAGGCAATAATCCCTGAACAGCAGAATGATGCTGCAGAACAATGTTCTACTCAGACTGTCTCCAGAAGATGTGCACCACACACTCACCATCCATTCTCCTTCAAGACATCCATCCATGAGCTAAAAGCTCAGATACAAAGCAATGCCCAGAAGTTTCAGGTCCTTTTTTCTGATAAGATGTCAAACACAAATGACAGTGGTATGGATTTGCCTTATGCCCCTGCTGTTCTGCACACCATTCTGGCAGCCCAAAGGTGGCAGCAACCCAACCCAACTCATGGGTTATTTCTTTCCTGCGAGTAGGCAATGACACATGAAGCAGCAGGAACAGGGTTATCACTTCCCAGCTGTGTCACAGCTGGGGACAAGGAGAGAGTCACTGGGGGACTGGCGTGTCCCAGTATGGCTGGGCAGCAGGAGTGCCTCTTGGGAGGCTACAGCAGCTGGCATCCTAAAGAGCAATCCCACTGCACCCCTCTGCTGGCCTGCAGATCCTGGTGCCCAGTGCAGCAGCAACAGCTCCCGTTTGCTCAGGCCAGTGAAGATCACTTCTTCCATCACAGGGTTTTTCTTTGCCAGCCTCTTTGTTGAGAGGGCAAACTGTATAAGCAGTAAAACTGAGCAACTAAATGTGAGCCTGTTGTTTATTTAAAGCATTGCCCAAACTACTTATTTTCCCTAGCATGAATCTTGGTATTGCTGGAATGAGTTGAGCAAACTATCCCAGCCAAAAGATGAACCAGAAGCTGTCACAAGAGCAGGCATGAAAAGTTTGGCTAAAGTATAAGGAACCAAGCAAAGAGGGTCTGGCACCTGGCAGCTTCAATAACTGTAGATGCCCTTCAGCTTGCTTGACCCACTACATCAGTCCATGCTGACCTCACTGCTCACCACAAAATCGAGATGCATTCCTCAGCCCGTGGCAGCATCACCTCAGTGAGACTAAAATAAAACCCACTGAAAGGTTTTATATAATACCAAGGCTACAAGATCTCTAATGTAGTTTTCTTATTGGAGCAAGAGCCAAGCACAGCTTAAATTCATTAGCTAATGGCCTGTGACAATGAAGGACAAAGACAATTATTATGCACATTTCCAAGCTGATTGTTTCTGTGTGAAGAAAATGCAGCAAATTATTGTTCTCCTATATTAACGTACCATAAAGGATTACTATCACATCTATTTCAAAAAATCCCTATCCCTTTCAAAATGCAGATGAGTGCCAGATAAATTTGATTTTTATAGATGAAAGCTTGGTGGAAAAGTCAAGATTTTATTAGGGCTATGGACAATCACATTACATTTTATATGATATGACAACTTCACTATTGAATCAGGAAATTGATCTCAGGAACTTTTTTTCTACTGAAGGCTTACCAATTCCCTGAGTATCTCTCATGTATCTCAAACACTTATCCTTGGATATAACAGTCAGAGACATTCTTAATAGCTGCTTGTATTTATAGAAAAGTCAGAAAAGAAATACAACATCACATCACAGACTCGTAGAATCACTGAGGTTGGAAAAGACCTCCAAGATCATCAAGTTCAACCTTTGACCAATCACCACTTTGTCAGGCAGATCACAGCACTGAGTGCCACGTCCGCTCACTGGTTACTGTGTTCAACAAGGCACTTACCGCTGGTCATGGAAGGAGATCAGGCTGGTCAGGCAGGACCTGCCTTTCCTAAAACCCATCCTGGCTGTCCTTGATCCCTGGCTGTCCTGTGTGTCCCTGTGATCACACAGAAGATCTGCTCCATTACCTTCCCAGGCACTGAGGTCAGGCTGACAGGCCTGGAGCTGCCCAGATCCTCCTTCCAACCCTTCCTGTGGATGGGTGTCACACTGACCAACCTCCAGTCACCTCCATGGTCAGCCAGGACTGATGGGGAATGATGGGGAGTGCCTTGGTGAGCCCTTCCAGCAGCCCCCTCAGTACCTTCAGGTGAATCCCATTCTGCCCAATGACTTGTGAGCATCTAAGTGACACAGCAGGTTACTACCTACCTACCTATATGACAGGGTCTTTTTTCTGTTCCCTGTCCCTGTCTACCAGCTCAGGGGGCTGATTTTATTAAGGATAGCCAGTCTGTCCTAATGTGGAAAGGGTAAATCATTTCACTTACAGCAAAATGTATGGTAGATCACACTCCACATTCCTTGTAATTTTTTAATGCCAACAAGCAAAGAAAGCACTGAGGAGAGGATGTGTCACCTCAGTCTGCCAAATGCTGTAAATTCAGAGGAAGCTGTAGCAGCGTGGGGGTTTAGACGGTGGTTGCTGCTACCTATTTCCCAAAAAGAATCTCTTGTGGAAAAGCCACTTGGGTAAGCATTCAGGAAGGCAGTGAAGTCCACACTCACCGTGGCAAGCTCAGTGAAGAGAGGCAGAAGGGCCTTTTCTATGGTCAGTTCCAGCGAGGCTTCTTTGAGCACGCTGAAGGGGAACCAGAGACAAAAGGCAGAGCGTGTGCTCTGCACAAGGTTAAGCAGGGAGGGCACGGGGGCGGTACCCAGGGCAGGGCAAAGGGCATCGGCTTTCAGGGAAGAAGGGGCTGGCCACCAGGGGTACCACAACCAGTGAGGAAACAGGGGAAGTTGGGATATGTGGGGAAAGGAACTGGGATGGATCCCGGTTCAGTAAAAGTCCGTGAGGAAAGACTTTTCTGCCCGCCCAGTGGGGGGAACTCTATGATAAGTCTATCCAAGGGAGGGCTCTGGGGATTTCTCTGAGGGGGAAGGAATCAGAGGATTCGGAGGAAGCTGGACCCAGCCAGATCCCCCACAGTTCCAGGGCCCTGTTCTGTACTCATGTACATGTGGAGCAGTTTGGCAGCCCTGGCAAGAGGCTGCTGTCCTGCACTGTGTCAGGAAGGGAAGGACTGATCCCATCATCCACCAGCAGCGATGGCTTCCTCTCATTTTCATTTCTCACTGTCATTTTCAGTGACAATTTGAAGCTGTGACTGCTTCCTCATCCCTTGGTGAGGAAGGGTGCTGGATAACTTATGTCAAAAGACACTTCTCCCAGCATTCAAGTAAATGACCCACAACCTTAGTAACACCAAGCAAACTTTGCAGAGGAGCACAAGAGGCCTGGGTTCAGGCACAGCATTTTCTGAAGTCACATATTCTGGTAAGCATCCCTCCATTGTTCTCAGGAACCATGCAGGACTACTCAGAAGCCCACCTGGGGAAGCAATCCGTCCTCCTTCCTCTCTGTACTCACTCCTAGAGTGTCACTCAGGGTGTCCCAGTCACTCTGGATTTAACAGGTCATTCACACAGGGCTTGACAAAACCCCAGACTTACTTACCCTCTAGTGATAAGTGTGAGCAGGAGACCTCCTACAGCAAGGGCTTTGTAATCCATCCTGAAACGAAAAAAGCTGCAGGGGAATTCTGGTGTCTCAGCATGGCTGGGATCTGCCATTACAGCTGGTCCACGGGCTTTGAGGTGTGCACTGCAAGGCTTTACCCTCTTGTGCCTCCCCAGTTCCACAACCCCACCTTTGTACGTTTTCCCTTTGCAGCTGACACTTGCAATATAAGCCACTGAGGCTGTAATAAAATGCTCAATACTAAAAATATATATGGAGTGTTACAGATTATGAAATTCAATGTCATTTTTTTAGATGTCATAAAAACATTATCAGATTCCCAGTAGCCTCCAGAGAGATTCAGGAATATGTTTATACACTGAAATGTCAAAATCATAAAGTGTCTGCTTTTGCACTATTTATTTTTTGTGGTGGTGAAGTAGTTATTACATGACATTTCATAAATACAGTGACTCAGAAATAATTAGTGTGCTGAATAACAAGCTTTCCACTCTAATACAGCACCATATATTTTAAACCCCTGATTTTCTTGAGGCACTCACACAGTCTAGCTTAAATATTACAAATAAAAGTGAACTCGGGGGGAAGGGGGGGAAAGAACAATTCTGCTGCTGAGTTTTAGTTTCTTTCCCTTTCAAGGGAGGTGTCACGACAGCAGGGTTAGGCAATGAGCAGCAGTAACTGTGTTTCCCAAAGGGCAGGGACAAAAGAGGCAGCATGTCTCACTGTTATGACACAAGGCAGAGGTTCCAAGAGAGTATCACATTAGCAAGATTAAAATTAACAAAAACGCTGAATAAAACCCTTCCTTGAAGGAAGAAGATGATTTTAAATTGCTTGTAATTAATACAGGAGAAACAACACTGCACACAGCCCTGCTCTAGCCAAGAAGTCTTCCAGATTTTCACTGCTCAGCTTGTAATACTCCTACTTACTTTTTTTTTTTTTTAAACACACAGTGGATTTTATTGCCTTTTTTAGCTATTAATATGCAACCAATTATAAATTGTGAGTTGCAGCACTGGATAATTTCCCTTCAAGAATGCTAAGCAGATTCTGTGCTGTATCAGGCCATGTGACAGCACAGCAACTACCATCCTCTCTGACTTTTTTTTAGCAGCAATTCCTAAACACATGCTCAGCAGGAAAACTGGAGCAAGCCCCATCTTAGGACGTTCTTGTGATACTAGTTTTTTAACTTGCTGGATATTCTGCCTAAAAATAAAAGGAAAATTTAGGATTTAACTCAAGTTCTCAGGAGTAGAGATTCAGATGAACAATAGGCAATAACAGCAGTATTTATTACAGCTTGGAGATACTTGTCTTATTTTCTCTCACTGCTGGCAGTGCTGTTGTGCTGGCACCACATTCAAAGCTTCTTCTTGAGGCCTGTCAGAGGAGAGAGGGCAAATTTGAGGTGCAAGGTTAGAAAAATAGAAGGAAAACAGAGAAGGCAGTGTGAACTTTGATTTCCTGCAGACACAATGCACCTCACAGTGAGGAGCCATTGACAGGTCCCAGGATGAGCTGAGCTGGAAGGGACCCACAGGGTCCAGCTCCCAGCCCTGCACGGCACCAAACCCAACAGCACCCATTTGCTGCAGGTTTTGGCTGCACAAAATCCCCTCTTCCCCTTTTTTGTTTTTCCTGGGATAAAGTACTTGCAATAAAACCACCCTCCCACTGAGTGAAGGTATGATTATTGATAGTTATTGGTACCATTGCATTAATGACAGTAGTTGGGCCAGGATGAAGCTCAAGGCAGTTGGCTGAGTCTACGCCAAGCCCAAGCAGCAGGAGCTGTTCCTGAATTTGAACATGAGCATGGAACCAGTGAACACACTACCCACAGAAGGAACTATGCATGAGGGTGCACATTAAGTGTCACTGTTTATGCATGCTTTACACCTCTTTTCTGTTAAAAATCCCTTCGCTGTGTGGAAAAATAGTTCTTTACACTGAAATGGGAAAAGTGCTGAGGTCAGGCAGTACTTTATATTGTCTTACCATAATCACAGGATTATGGTAAATCACAGGATTATTTGGTAGGTGTCAGAACTGGATTTTGGCTGAGGCAATTTAATGCATAGGGACCCTACATGGTAATAGGAGCTCAGACATAAAACACCGAGCTGGGGCCAGAGCTGTGATATCTTATTGCCTTTGTCTAGAAACTGCAGTCAGCATTTGTAATCCTTCACAGGGAGTTTCAAAACAGCTCCAATGTTTGCGAGACCTAAGGCCGAATTTGTGTGCTGCAGTGTCAGGGGAGCTGAGGACACTCCAGGGGTTTTGCTGCTGTGCTGCTTTGTGGTTTCCCAGCAAGATGTTGGCATGCCCTTCCATACTGGCCTGCTCAGCTCCAGAGATCCTTTCCCTCTCAACACCTTCACATCACCTTTCAATCAATAACTATTAAAAGAACTTCCATAAGTGTTTGCAGTTCATCACAGTCTACATTTGAAGATAAATTCACAGTATGGAAAAAAAAATACACTTAAGTATAAAATATCCAGATAAATTAATGGTCCTTATTTGTTCTTTCTGTTTTATCCTTCACTCTCTCCACCATTCATCAGAGGTCCAAACTTGTGCAAATGAACTTCTGAATGTGTGACAACACATTCATCTAAGAAACCTAATTCAGAAGCAATTATTTTTCTTACTTTTCTTTATTCTTTTCCTTCTCAGTGTCCAAGAATGTTCATGGGAGCTTGCTAAGGAACCATTTTGATTTGCCTGTTTGTGTAAAAATAATCCATGTTTCCTTGACATGTTGAGAATACAACATGCCAGGAATAACTTGCATACTTTGGGAGGTCTTTCTGCTTGTGAAAGTCCAGCATGCTACTGGCTTTATCAGGAGGTCTAAAACATGCTTGTGGAACTTGAAAAAGGTCTTTCCAATGACTAATGCAGTCCATTTGTATGGATAGCTCATTAAATTAGCAGAAGTGCTAAGTCTTACAAAAAGCAATTGCTTTCTTATGCAAAACACGAAATGTGCTCATCCGGAAAAGGAAATTTCACATCTCCTAGCTAATAGTGAAATAACAGACCATCACAAACTCCTTCCAGACTCTTCTTATTTGGACACATTCCACATCTTTTTCCCAGCCAGCATAAGCCTCTGGGAGGCCCTATCTGCACTGACATCTCTGCAGTTCCAGCCCCAGCCAGCCTGGATAGCGAAGCAGAAGCAAGCTGAGGGTAACAGCATTTATCTTCAGAACATATGGCAGTATGTGTCAAAGAAGAATATCCTGGTGCCATGATGTGAAGGGCTGCCGTGTCCATAGGGCTGAAAGGGTTTTATGTAGCTTTTTTTTTTTTTTTTTTTTTTTTTTTTTGGTAGCATCTCTAGGTCAAAATGTTGTAACTGTAATGGTTACATGTGGGGAGATCTTAAGGAGTTAGAAGGTTTCCCTTGCTACCAGCTCCTTAAAGAGTTTACCTATGATGCATGAAAAGGTCAGGAAAGTTAGGGATGCTGCAATATTTTTATTAAGGAATTTATCTTGTAGGCAGCCTGCTCTCATTTGGTTCATCTCCCAGTGAATATCAGAAAATATAATATGTTGGAGAAACACATGGGAGCCTTGGGATCCCATGTGCTGCATGGTCACTTTTGCTTACACGTGTCCTTCTCAGCAAAGGAGTGACAGCACTTGTTAAAAGCATTTGTGGATGGACTGAGGGCAACCTGGGAGCTGCAACAGGCCCCATTGCTCACCCTGTGCCTGACCTTCCCCAAGCAGCAAAAGCCCTGCTGGAATTTCTGCCCAGACATTTCTGTGGGCACAGAGGCAGAGATGGTGCTTGCAGTCACACCTACTTACAACTTCGTGCTGTGTGAAAATGAGTGTTCCTCGCTCTTCTAGTTTTCAGCTGAGCAGATCTTGAATTTGATTGCATCCTAAGACACATCTGGTTGTAGCACTGCAGACAGGGTCCTTGAAAAACCACAAAGAAAAGGTGTTTAGGTTAAGAACACTCTTGTGATTAAAAAAATATTGAAAGTCCTCAAGTGTTTGTTTAAAGAAAATAATTTTCATTAAAATGCTGGCACAATTTCAAGCAATTTGATTCTAATTTTAAAGTGTTGAAAATGCCCTCAGATAATTTTTGCAGCATTCCAGAACCCAGAAGTGATCATAGAAAGCAAGTCACTTAAGAAATCAACTGCAGAACTAAAATTCATTTCCTGTTTTCTAAGAAAACAAAAAAGGGCCCAAGGCTGTTAAGTCTTCCTGAGAAAGACCTTCTCACAAGCACTTTTCAAGCAGGCAAGCATGGTTTGCCTTTTTTCCCCTAAACAAAACAGAGTTTGCACATTCAGAAAGCTTCCAAGAACCACACAAGACATATGAATACAAACAATTTACTGGACTTTGGTACCAAGTGCATGGCTCAGTTGGACCTGAAAGCAGCCTAAAGTCATTGCCTTATTATTTTAAAGACGCTCAGTGGTGCATATTTTACAACACTTGTGCTCTGATTTCATCAAAGCAGCAGTCTGATAATTTCATATTAGGATTTCATCTAGATTTACTAAAGCTTCATTGACCTTGGGTGGAGTCAGCTCTTTCTTCAAAAGAACCAAGTGAAATTGTGTCTCCAGCTCACCTCAGAGGAGTGAACCCCCCCAGGCAGGCAGGTTCTTTCACTGAGGTTTTGCTACCAGCACCACTTGTGACAAGACGTGCCTCCATCCAGCAAGGAGATGTTGCAACTTGCTGCAAGCACAGCTGTTGCCTCATTTTGGTTTCAAGGAAGCAGATTCTGTAAAACATTCTGCTAGGAAAGTTGGTTTCCATTTAGAAAGGAGGAAAAATATTGAAAAGGAAAACAAGAAAGAAAAAGAAGACAAATATGCCTCTAAGCAGGCTTTTGAATGCTCTCATTTGTTAACTAATACAGATAACAGGCCTGAATGACAACAAGCTTCCTATCAAGAGCATCCCAAACAAAAACTTCAACAGAACTTTTCTATCTCATAGAGCCACAAAAGCTTCACACATTTTTTTATTTTAGTTTTCCACTGTTGGTTTTTTTTACTAGCAATTGTATGCCTCAGGTGCTTGATGCTTACCCTGAGATACCAAAAAGTTTTTTTGTGGGAGAGAATTTTTTACAAATTAGGCCCTTTTAGTTCTATTGATAAGAGTCACATTAAAATTTATATCCACAAAATGCCTATTTAGAAAAGGAAGTCAACAATTTTTATTTTTTAATGTCACTACCATTCTCTACATTTACTGTCTACCCAGTTTTTTCAGTACTCCATAGTAGCTTTTTCTGGGCTTACTATAATCCTCACATTATCAACATCCTCTTCATCAGCATATTTACATGAAAGCAGGGAAGAAATTGGAGAGAAGTTAGTTCACTGTTGAATTACTTGATGTAAATTATTCAGGGTGTTAATCCTGATGCATGTGGGCTAGGAAGAGGGAAGAGAGGACTGCTTTATTGGGTTTGGTAGTTTTTTCCTCCACTGTGCTTCACACATGTGGTAAGGCAAGGGCAATAAATCAGAACAAAGGCAATAAAGGACGAAGGCTTTAGGGAACATGTGTTTTAGAAGAGAAACTTGGCTCACCACTAAAGCAGCATTGCCTTATAACGGATGTTTAAAATTCAGATGTGGAAAGAGACTGGCAAAATTATATAAAAACAAGAGACTTGCAGGTCTGTACAGCTTTTGACCAGCACTGCAAGCCAGTCCATCTTTGGCAGCCCCTCCTGGGCCTGGACAGGCAGGTCCCTGCTCCAAACCAGCAGGACTGCAGCACTGTGGCAGCACAGCTCATCCCAAAGCAATATTGCTACACTTTAGGTTCAGACAAAGCATTAAAGAATTCAGCCCAACCCAGGCAGCTGACACATTGTTTTCCAGGACCAGAGCTCTCTCCAGCTGCTGTTGACAGACCTGTTGCAAACCCATGTCAGCCAGAACATGCTGCTGGAGGAGTCATTTGCCATCCCTGGGATCTGTACAACCCTCACACTGCAGTGGCAGGGCAGCAGCTTCACACAGCCAGGAGCACTCTGCTGAGACTCTGCTCCCGGCCTTGGGCAGGCAGAAACTGCTCAACAAAAGTAAGAACTACTTTGAAGCAGATTTGCCAAGGTGTTTAGAAACCTAGACATGAAGAGAGTTGCCCCATGAGGTTTCCCAAATGGGAATTTTCCTCCTCTCTCCCTCCAATCCCCCAGAGACCTTAGTGTATCTGGTTTGCATGGCAAGGTGCTGATAGGATGGGGGTCTGCAGGGGTGGTTTCTGCAGGAAGCTGCTGGAAGCTTCCCCCACATCCAACAGGGCCAATGCCAGCCAGCTCCACAAGAGACCTGCTGCTGGCCAGAGCTGGGGGAATCGAGAGTGACAGTAATGCCTCTGTGGCAGCATTAGTGAGAAGGAAGAAGACTAGCTATTGGGCAGACATAACTGCAGCCAGGGAAGAGGAGAGTGAGAGGAACAGCTCTGCAGACACCAAGCTCAGTGGAGAAGGAGGAGGTGCTCAATCCACCACACTTCTGAAAGGCCAAGAAGTGGCTCTCTGCATGTTTGGGCACCCAAATACCTCTGCAGAGAGTTTTACATTTCATGACCCTTCCCCTCCTCCTGTGGGCTGCCCATGGGACTCCCAGCCAGGCTGGTGGCCAAGGTCAGCACTGGACTGACCAGTGCTAAGGGCAGTAAAGCAATCTGGGCTGCTGGCAGGACACAAGAAATCCCAAGAGGGTGACAGGGCTCCTGTTTGTCTGTCCTGTGCTTGTTAACCTCTGAGGGTAAATGGTCTCTATTTCACTTAATGCAATAGCTTTGCTGCCAGTCTTCTGCCAATACACTTTAGACCAAGTAGTCTAACACTAAATGTATCCTACATACACTTTGTTGTCATATTAGTCTGCCTTTCCAAATTTCCCTCTTTTTTCATGCTTTATGCATTCCAAGCTTAAATAAAAGCAAAGCCCAGAGTCCAAGAATTGAGCGGTGACTAAGGTGGGGGCTGTGAAAAGGAATAGAGAGGGAACAGAGCTATAAATGGAATCAGGGAAGCATGGCTTGGGCTGATTAATGAGCTTACATCTGTGATGAGTGCTTACTATAAACAGCAGGTAGAGAAGCAAAGCCAGCAACAGAAAGTGCTCAGGAGCACAGGAGGTGAAGCCATGGTCCCCCACATCAGCAGGGACCCTCCTCAGTGGGGCTTTGGGTGGGCTGCACAGCAGCATTCATAGAACCACTGGGGAACAGCATGCATCCTTCTGGGAACATGGGAGAAAAGGGGGATTTAAAAAAAAAATACAATTCCATTACTAGTGGCAAAACAGCAAAGTCCTGGCTAAAGGTGCAGCTAGAAAGTGCCTGTGCTTTTACCCTCCTTCCCTGGGACTTTCCTCTAGCAGTGGGCATCCCTGGTGCCCACACTGCCTGCCAGGTTTGCAGTTGCCTGGCACACAGGGCAGCCCCAGTGGGGTAGAAAAAGAAGGACTTTGGAATGATCAGGGGAAATGCAGTGCTGTTTGGAGTAGCTGTCCTGCAGTATTCAACAGGATCCCAGCATCATCATTCCTAAGGATAAACATGCAAATGGAGCCCCTGAAATCCTCTTGCTGGTTTAAAAACAGAAAAACACAAGCAAAGCAAAAGTTTCAATGGAAAACAAAACCAAAATACTCCCCCCCACAAAAACTGATGCTTTTTGATATTATATTGCAATGAAAACTGAAACTTCCTCCTTGTTCTCTGTACCATGATCCATTGATCCATCCCTCTGAGGAAAGCTCAGACTACTGTCAAGTTGTGAGAAAATGGAGAATAGGCAAAATTAGAATTCCAGAAGTAGATATTTATGGATAAACTCAATGCAGACTTTTTTAATAAATAAACTGGCCAAGACTGAATTATTGTTAAAACAAAATATCAATTTTAAACAGTGAAAATAGAAGATGTATACACCAAGCTACTCAGAGTCTTCAAAGAAAACTACTGGGTTACTCAACACATTGAGCTCTGTGAATAACTCCAGCCCACTCCAGCTTGATTTTCCCTTGTTCCAGAGCAGAAAAGTTTCCAGTGCTTGTAGCAACCAACTCAGCTCACTTTGTTCTTGCTGGGCAGTTTTTGCAGCAGCACAGAGCAGATGCAATGGGGTCAGGATCTGACCCCCCACATACATAGTTTTAAAGATTATCATTCAGCAGAAGCCACTATGAGGAAGAAAAAATGCTAAGCCCAGAGCCTGAGTTATTTCTCTGACCCACAATGCTAACAAACATAATATTTCATTTGGCTGGTTATACAAAACATGTGGTAAAGCCTCCATTTTTGGGGAAGATTTGTCCTGCAGCACAAAAAGGAAAGAAAAATAACTGAACTTTATTCTGCCTGTCTCTGCAATGCTCATCCCTGCAGCCACACAAGCTGCTCTCACCTGAATTTTAATTCTGGATACATATGATAAATTTATTTACTCTACAGAAATATCAACAAGGTCCAATCAAAGAGTAACATCAAGATCTGCAGGCTGGGTGCAAACAGGAAAGCATCCCCATGAAAAGTTTATACTCCAAGCAAAATGGGAAGGTTCAAGATGATCAGTTATTTAAAAGGACATGAAAACTAGTGAGTTCAGGACAGATTTGAACAGCAAAACACATTCCCCAGTGTGTTCAGCATCAGCAAGAAAATTGTTCAGTGCTCAGGTGTCTTAGACTGAGTACAAGGCTGAGACCAGCCTACAGGAGCTTTTGGGGCTTTGTATTTAAAGTTCCAGTTCCAATTCTGACCTAGCATCAGGCCCCAAATATGGTCTTTCCCCTGTAATCAAACAAACAAACACACAAAAACCCAAACAAACCCAACAAAAAGGACCAATTACTCATTTACCCCCTAGAAACCTTTCACTTGTCCGTGAACTCCACCAGCATTTGAAAGGGAGCCAAGGGTTGAGAGACATTACAATGCACAGGAGGAGCACAAGACAGTTGTTTGCTGTTTTCCCCGTCCTGACAGCTGTTCCTGATGTACCCAACCCTCTACTAAACCTTCCTTAAGGATGTTGTACAAAGGGAAGGGTTCCTATCCCAGCAGGGCTAGGAGGGTTTTAAGCTGCCAGCCAGCTGGGTGAGTGTGAGTCCACTGCAGCTACAGGAGGGGAGGGTCAGGCTCCCATCCTTCCCTCAGGAAGGCTGATGCTGTGCCAGCACACACAAAGGGCGCACATACATGTGTTCTGCACTGGCTCAGCTCCAGGGATGCTTCTTTCCAGCTGAGGAGCTGTATCAAGCACAGTAGGAGATAACCTTTCCAGCCTTTCCATCTGTTCCTGCAGACAAAATGGCACATTAAAGATGTTTCTAAACACCTCTAAGCAGGTGGAGGGTTATAAAGTTGGGGCAGTCATAGCCATTCCCCTACTTCCTTCATCAGGAGCAAATCCTTGAGCTATTCCCTAAAGCCTCTCCTCAGCTGTGCCACCACAGGACCTATAACTCACCTCCTTTTCCTCTGGAGACTGACCAGCTGCCCCCCAGGCTCCCTTTATCCATCAGTGAGGGACAAGCCCTCTGTTTGGGATACCTGTGCCCTGCAGTCAGCACAGCACATTCTCAGTGGGTTTGCTGATCAGGACATCAGCGATGCCCCCTGAGCTGTGACTCAGCTGCGGGCCCGCTGCCACTCAGCAGCTGGCACTTGGCACTGGGGCTGTGTGACTCAGGCTGGCAGGAGCCTTTGGAGATGCCTTCCCCTGATTTATATCTGCAAGGGATCCTTTGTGTTCAGACCCTATTGTTGGCATGCCAGCCTCACTGTAAAAATCTGGAGTTAATAAACTCACTTTCTGAGCCCAGCAGCTCTCTCCAGGATGCAGCTTTGTAGGGCTGGCAGTGCTTGCTCCTGCTCCATCAGCCAGCACGGCTGCCTTTTCACCTTGCAAAAATCCTGTGATTTCACACATGGGCAACCCCAGGGAAACCCTAGGCTCACAGTGCCTGGTAGTCTGCCTCCATCTTGCTCCATTTCTTTACCCCTTTTGTTGTGGAGTTTGGAGCCCTAGCCCTAACTGCAAGAAGCCTCTTGGCACCAGCAATTTGGGCTCCCCCCAGAGAAATCAGAAAATTTCAAAAAATAAAAAAATATAAAGACAAAAGATGGATGTGTGAGTTCATTTATGGAGTTGTATAAATAATGGGGCCTATAAATAATGGGACCATCTCTACCCCTCTCCAAGACCGGTGACATTTTACAGAGGGCAAAGGGACTCACACATGGCACTGCAGCCTTTCTTCCATGGCAGATTTGTGGCTTGTTTGCGGCTTATCAGTCAAAAAGGGTGGAAGCAACTTTCACTTCTCAGCAATCCCAAGGGACAGGTGTGCTCTGGAGCTGGCTACATTCCAGCAGAGTGATTCACTTACTTTAAGCCACATTTTTGGTTTGTATAAGCTGGACCAACATCAGTGGAGCTACACCAGCCCAAGCATACAGCTCCACATTCTCAGGGAAGGGAGCTCACTTCTGGAAGGTCTTGAGCAGCTCCTTGGTGCTGCAGGCTGGATGCCCCTACAGACAATGAGCCCTGCCTGGGAGGATGTGGGAAGGCTCTTTTGCTTTGTGTTACTCTGGAGAAGAAATGAGGCAGTTCTCCTCACAGTGAATGACAATGGGAAAACAAGAGGAAACATCCGGCAAACAAAATAAAACACTTTAGAACTGAAACTGGGAGCTGAGGCTGGAAGAGAGCTGGAACAGACTCCAGAGAGCCCCTGGTGCACAGGGAACAGCAGGATCAGACTGTGACACTCATCACCCCCATGGGACAGACACAGAGTGTCAACAGCTTTTCGCAGGAAGAACTGAAAGGATTAAAGCACTTCCATTCAGACACCCAGAGGAGAATGGGCAAACACAGGACAGCCGTGTGTGACTATAATTAACACTTCAATGCTGGTCCTGTGCAGTGCTGGGCACTCGAGGTGAAGGGATGTGTTCAGCCCCTGCCCTGTTCATGCCAAGCTAACCAAGGCTAAGCAGGGCTTACAGCCATCCTCTTTCTCCAGCCCTTTGTGGAGATTTGCTTCTCAGCAAATCCCTCTTCCAAAAACTGACAAAAATCTACACATTGAGAAGCTTGGAAATCGGTGTGAGAATTAGGCAGAGCCACAGAGTAATGCTGTACATTAAATATTGTGATTGTCTGCAGGAACATTCACACAGGGACAAGCAGCACTCTTTGCAAAACAGGGTTCAGCAGAAGTAACCCCAATTTACAGCAGGACAGCATTAACCACAGAGATTAAAGGCTGCTGCTGTTACAATATAATACAGGCACCTTATGAAAAATTTTGGCAGAATTTGGGCACCCTGGTTGGAAACTGCGATCTGGGAGCTCCATATTCCCACTCTGCTGCTGCCTAGCCCTGGAGGTGCCTGAACTTGCCCACTGATTCCTGTTTTGAGTCACTGGACGCTCTGAAGCTGCTTCCAGGTGTGCTCAGAGCTGCTCCCATCCAAACATCTCCCTCCAGCTCTCAGGTGAGCACTGCCGTGCTCTGGCAGCAGGGTGGGCAGTGCTATCCCCATCCCCAGCAGGAACAAGCCAGGGAGCTGCAGCAGGAGCACCACAGTCCCCCAGGCAATCCCTTTTGCTGCAGCAGCAGGAGAGGCTGGGCTGTCCCTGGGAACACCCCTGTGCTGCACCCAGCAGCTCCCATCCTCTCTGCAGCCCATCCTGTGGGGCACCAGGAGCTCCCCAACAGCCCCTGCAGTCTCCCAGCCATGAGCACAGACAGCAGGAGCTGCGTTTCCCTCCTTCACAGGGATGCTACAGCATCCTGGATGACAGCAATGAGCTGCAGCCTCTTCCCTACCCTGCAAAGATGCCAGGGTAACACAGGCTGGGGTTGACTCTGGCTTTTGTAACTTTTTCAGTATAACCCACGCTCGAGGCAGAGCTTGTTTTGATAAATTGCACAGGCATTTCTCCTCCTGTCCTGTTAACAGCTTGGTTTCAGAGAAAGCACAGTAAGTGCCTGTGGTAAGTAAGTGCTGAAGCCCAGCTCCCCCCACACTGTCAGCCTCTGCAGTTTTCCCAAACACAATCAACAACCTGGTCTAGGGCTTATCTACCCACTTACAAAAGTCTTAATCTGACAACTAATGATGCATTAATCACTGTCAGACCACGATCTTTTGTTTCTGCTTCTCTGCAGGCATCTGTCAGGATCACAAGGGATTAATTACTGCACTAGCCTGGGTACAGAAGCTCAGCCCCTCTGCAGACACTCCTCGATGTTTTGTGATTCCTTCAGCAACCACTTCACCTGTCCTTCCCCTCCTTCACTCACCACTCGCATTTCTAGTCCTGGCTATCTGCTCTCTCTTGTGAAAGCAGGGGTCCTTTTTCAACCTCACAAGCAGCACTAAAAGAGAGGATCATCAAAATTCTTCCCTGCAGCATTGTCCCTGGTTGAGATCCTGGTTTCCAATTCATTTAACCGTGAAAGGTGCCTACTCTCTCCTTCATATCCACTTTTATGTGGTTGACCTCTAACCTTCCATGCACACAGCACTCTAGAGCATGCAGTATTCAGGAGTATGAAGAATCTGCTCAAAATGAAGTGACCTTCCTTGCAAAGCCTGTGGGATGGTGACCAAACATCAGAGCAAGCTTTGGGAGGCATCCAAGCTCCACCTCAGCAGACAAACCAGCTGCATCACTTCTGCAAAAGATCCTGACAGACTGAAATATACTTTTACATCTCAAGAGCCTGGGCCCAGCTGTCCACAGGAAGTGACACCCCCAGGGGATGCAGGGACATCAAGGGTTCATCTCCACATGGAAGCTGTGAGGGTTTATGGACACTGGTGCAGCAATAAGAGCCTCTGGAGCTGGTACAGTTTGACAAAGTAAAGCTATTGTACACACAGAGGCACAGCTACTTCCAAAGGCAAAAGGAATTAAGCTATACCTATCTAAAATAAATTTCGAAAATTACAGCGTTTTCTCAAATACAAACTACTTCCATGGGTGTTGGACCTGTATGTCCTGAGCCTTCTCTGCAGCAGCAGCCAGGAATGTGCATTTGGCCACCCTTCACTGCTGAGCACTGCCTGAGGAAGCCTTTGCTCTCCCTTCCATGGGAGTTTCTGTGCATGATTCAGCAGCCACCTATGAAAAGCAATTCAGAAGATGAATGAGTTCACTATGACAGAGGGGAGGAACACAAGAGAGCATCTCTCTGGGTGCATGAGGGATTTCAGCAGGTGCTTGGATCACACAGAACTCTGCATTTCACAAACATATCCCAGGTGCTGGAGATGGTTCAGTTGTTTTCCTCTCTACAGTAAAGGCCTGAGAAGCATAAATAGACAAAAACAAGCAGGAAACAAAATCAAGTACTTGTATATGATGCAGTAGCTTCTTTCCAATAGTCTTGGAGTGTGTAGGCTTTACAGAAGGAAAATACTTGGCACACCAGCACAGCATCATCATGCTGCCCCTGATAGAACAGATGGTGGAAGTGTAACCTGACACAAGAGTACCTTTTCCTGTTAGGAGATTTAGATTACAGCTCCTTCCCAGAGATAAATCTAAAGCAAGAAGGTTTCTTTCTCCCAAAACTGGAATTCTCTGAGTGTTACACTGCTGGAGATTTAAATGTTTTATTTATACTGGGAAATTTCCTCCTGTAAAGAAACTCCAGAGGTTCCTATAGCCCCAGCATTGCAATGGATCCCCATCTGCTGGAACACTGCTGGAATCAAATATTTCTCCAGCCAGGGCTTCCTCACCTGCTGTGCTGCTCAGGAACCTCTGAGAACACAGCTGAGTTTTCTTAGAGCCTCACTCCTCTCATACATCTCTGAATTTTGATGGACTCGAGTGGTTCCAGCTGCCAGCTGACACTGCAGGAAGGACAGAGCCAGACCAACCCACACTTGTCCCTCCCCACCAGCAGGTCTATTTGTGGCCCTGGGCAGTGCCAGAAATAAACTGCTTTCCTTGGAGAGACCCACAGCCATGTGCTGGGCTCTCCACAGAGGGTACAGCAGCCTCAAAGAAACCCATTTTAGCTCTGGTTTCAAAGTGCTCACCAAAGGGTTTTAGAAGGCTGGAAGTGCCCCTGGGAGGCGTGGTGAGGTGGGAAAAGGAGGAAGGTAAAAATTAAATTTGTGTCCCCTCCTCATCCTTGGAAAGCAGTCCTTCAGGGTGTGCCAGCTCTCTCTCATCTCTTCTCTTCTAGCTGGAAGATCCCAGCCTCACAAGTGCAGTGCTGAGTCTATTTTAAATGACTCATTAATGTTTGCACACAAATGCCAGATGCTTTCTTTTTAAATAAACAAACAAACAGCAACCTCAAACACCCTCTGAGAGATGGAACATTTTTTTCCTACAGTGAAGGCCACAAGTAGTTGCTTGTTCAGGACAGTGGAAGAAGGTTCCTCAAAATCCCACTTTATAAGCATTTCTCCTCCCTTCCTCAGCCCTTCCCCTGCCACACAGGTGGGGACTTTAGGGAGGGATGGAGGTTATTTCCTCCTACAGCACTGAGGAGGAGAGGATTTTGGAGGACAAGAGCTGAACACAGATGATGGGCTCATTGGAAATTAATCCCCGTGGTTTCCCAGTC